TGATTATAATAAATAATTTCAAAGACAATAATTAGCAACAATTAATATTTTACCCAATATCTTTTATGCAAACCCTAGTCCAATTTCATCAAACATAAATTTACAAAAACAAAATTAATAAAAAAACCAAACCCTAGATCTAGATCTACATGCACATGAAACATCCATAAAACTAACTAATTGTTCACTAACATCAAGAAATATGGACCAAATAAGAGTATGATCTTGTTCCCCTCCCTAATTTACCCCAGTACATTCAAAACTTGGGTCTAATTTGCTTCATAAGTAGCTTAAGCACCATAGAAGAGAAAGAAAAGCAAAACTCTAATTACTCACTAACCAACCATTAAAACTTAAAAAAGTGTGGAATAATATTTTCTTACCGTCTACAACCTCTCCATCAAAGGATTTGAGACCAAAACCTTCCTCCCTTAGTAGAACAATTTTTGGGAGGTGCCCAAGGCCTCACCACCTTTCTTTCACGGGTTGGAGTGAGTGACCCGAGGAGGAAGAAGATGCTGCAGTTTGCTTTTATATGTGGGTCATTTGCAAGGGTGGCTGGTGATTGAGCCGCCCCTACAAATCGGAGGATTTTATACTCGGGCATTTGTAGGGGCGGCTCCATCACCAGCCGCCCCTACAAATAGCAATACTAGGGGCGGCTGGTGAGTGAGCCGCCCCTATAAATCCGACCTATTTGTAGGGGCGGCTTGTATGACCAGCCACCCCTGTTGTTCTATTTGTAGGGGCGGCTAGTCTCTAGGCTCCCGAGCACGCCACTGTAGGGGCGGCTCCATCACCAGCCGCCCCTACAAAAAAACTGTCCCGTTGCTACAAACCGTTTTTACGTAGTGTGGAGGTATCAGTGCTTTATTAGTACCTACCATGGATTTTAAAGTTGATGTGTTTTCCTACTATTCCATGGAAAAAATATTTAGTATGCTCACTACGTTTGATGTTTGGATGGTGTTGTTTGATAGCTATGGGCCTGTCTGGATCACGAATGGATTGTTATAATCAGGATTATGCATAAGATATTATAGTTAGGATTATGAATTATAATAATCAGAGTGTTTGGCTCAAAATAATATGATGATTGATTATGATGGGTTAAAGTGAGAAATTTCTATTTTATCCTTTTTAGTTTGATAAGTTGGACAATCGATCTTCTATAATCTAGCTTCACCTGGATTATGGGATTATGGTAATTAAGATGTTTGATTATAATAATCCATCGTATAATCAATCTCATATGCCGCTCTACTTTTGTAGAGAATGGAGAGGGCCTTCAAGTTCTCCACTATGCAGTTGGGCAGAAAGTTCGAGCCTCACTTTGACTACACCGACCGTACTTCCACCACCAAGCGACTAAATCAAAAATGTGAGGATGTCGTTTTCCTTATGGTGATATTTTTCTTTTATGATGAAGCTCGGATGTCGAAGAGGGTGGTGAGACTGTGTTCCCTAACGCGACCGTGAAAGGCAGCGCACCGTCGGCAAAGAGGGGGATATCTGTTAAACCCAGAATGGGAGATGCATTGCTCTTCTGGAGCATGAAGCCTGATGGATCTCGTGATCCCAAAAAGCATGCATGGTGAGTTTATATTACCCAATTAATCTTGTTTCTGTGATATGTTTTTCAACATAGAGTTAATTAAGCGTCATGCATGCATGCCATTGTATTCCGGGATTCTTCCCGTCCGAACGGCCGGACGGCAGTCACGCTGAACGGTTGGCCGGCGCCCGCGCAAATTATTCCCGCGCACTGCTGGCTTCTACGACGCTGCAGCGAGACCCACGCGCAGCCCATATGTACGGCCGAGTGCCGTGTGGTCGCGGGATTTCCGACTAGGAACCTGTTCCACTTTATTTTGCAAAAATTTTCGAGATTCCCCGTCACATCGAATCTTTAAACGTATGCATGAAGCATTAAATATAAATAAAAAATAAAACTAATTACACAGTTTAGACGAAATTCACGAGACGAATCTTTTAAGCCTAATTAGACTATGATTGGATACTAATTGCCAAATAATAACGAAAGTAACACAATACCATTTCGTTAAAATTTTTGCAAACTAAAGGAGGCCTAGGAGAGCAGCGTCCAGGACTCCAGGTACGTACGTTTTCTTATATTGTATATTTTCTTTTTTTCTTTCTTTTTCTTTTCTTTTCTTTTTCCTTTTCTTTTTTCATTTCGTGTCTAATTCTTTTTCTTTTTTCATTTCGTGTTTAATTTTTTATTTATATTTTATTTTTGTTTTATGTGATTTTTATTATTCTTTTCATTTTCATTTTTTATGTTTCTTTTCTTTCTTTTTTCTTCCCTTTTCTTATTATTTTTTATTTCCTTTCTTCAATTTATTTTTTTTGTTTATTTTTTGTTCCATGTGATTTTTCAATATTATTTTCATTTTTATATTATTTTTTTTGTTTTTTCTATAATTAATTATTTTGTTTGTTTGTTTGATTTTATTTTATTTTTATATTTTATTTTTTTGTATTTCTTTCGTTTTCCTTGTCTTGTATAGATTTTTTTATTTTCTATTCTATCTTACTTAATTATTTTTTCATGTTTATTTTTTTATTTCTATATTTCATGAGATGTTATGTTCATGTAGTATAGATATGATGTTTTTTTTGTTCACATGGTATATAATGTCATGTTCTATTAATGTAGTATACATGTGATGTTCTATGATTTTTTTGTGATGTTCACGTGTTATACATGTGATGTTCTACGATGTTTTTTTATGTTCATGTGGTATACATGTGATGCTTTATGATGTATTTTGTGATGTTCACGTAATATACATGTGATGTTCTATGATGTATTTTATGATGTTCATGTAGTTCTATGATGTTTTTTTTATGTTCACTTAGTATACATCTGATGTTCTACGATGTATTTATTGATGTTCACGTAATATATATGCGATGTACTACAATGTATTTAGTGAAGTTTTATGATGTATTTAGTGATGTTCACTTAGTATAAATGTGATGTTTTGCAGTATATTTTAAGATGTTTGAAAAGTATCCATGTGATGTTCTTAAATTTTTCTCTATCACGTGTTTTTATTTTTTTCTTATGCTTTGCTGTAGATTTTTTATTTTTTTATTTATGTATGTATTTATTTATTTACTACTTATATATTTCATCGTTTTTGTTATTATTATTATTTTTATGTATATTATAATAGCAATTTCATGAGAAATACTGTTTCTCTAAACGAGAATATTTTTCTTACGAAGACGGAATATTGTTTTCTGAACCTAGAACATCGTCTATGCTAAATAAAAGAAAATGTTCTATCTTTATAATATAAATGTTAGTTAATAAAATTTTATATAAATATATCCACGTGGGATCTTATTTTGAAGGATTTATTGCAAGAAATCCGATGGTGTAATCAGAATTGAATTTGAATGTTTAGTTTAGGAGTTATAACTTTTTTTATTTCATTGAAAAACACTACATGCACACGTGGATGAGGTGGACCGTACGCGATTGGCTTGCCTTCGCGTGCTGTCCATCCGCGTGCGCTACTGCCGGCAACACGGGAAAGCTGCGAACGCGTAGAAATTAATGAGTCTCTTTGCTTGACGCTTGTGTGTTTTACCTAACTCCACGCCTGAATTTTCTAGCACTATTCATCTTCTACCTCCAGCAGCCCGCATGCATTGTTGATCTTCTACCTTCAGCCAGCCGCTGCGCACTATTTATCGTCTACCTTCAGCCGGCCGCTGCGCACTGTTTATCTTCTTCGTTGGCACAGATTACAGGAAATAATTTTTTTCTATAGAAAGATAAGGACAAATCGCGGCTGTGTCGACATAGATGACAACAAATCGCGGCACAGCTGTGCCGCGGGGGCGGCGGCGGAGGTCCGGCTTGGAGGCGGCAGCGGAGGTCCAGCCTGAGGGCGGCGGCGGAGGTCTGGCCTGGTGGCGGCGACAGAGGTCCGGTCCGGCCGGAGGCTGCGCGCGGCGCCGTCGCCTAGGCGCGAGGAGGCATGGGCACCGGGAGGAGCTCGCCGGTCTCGTCGCCGGTGAGAGAGAGAGAGCACGCGGAGGGGAGGACGGGAGCGCGGAGGGGAGGAGTCAGTCAGAGCCTCATGTTAGAGACACGGAAAAAAAATCGTGTGTTTATTGGTGCTAAAACACCCGTGTGGTGTTTAGCATTCCTGAAATTAATTGGCTGGATTTGTCGTACGGTGCTTAGCGACCGATGGGCGGATCGTATAGGTGCAAGTCCAGTGATTAAAGGGACAAATGTTCAGCGACAAAGTGGATGCACATTAATAAGTAGGGAGAATTGGTTCTGTAGCATCAAAAGACCACGAGAATCAGAAAATACCACTGAAAAAGCTCCGTCACGTGAAATACCATCGAAAGATGTAAGCGTTAACCGAAATTAGCATTTCATCACGTTCGATCAATTTTGGGGTAGCGGTGCGTCATCTCCACCCTTGCGGGCATGTTCCAGCAGCTCCTCCAACCCCATCCCTCCTTCTCCGAGTCTCCGGCGCCTTCTTGAAGAAGGCCGCCCCACGCACTACGTCCGCCAGCGCCCCCAGCAGCTCCTCGTCGGCCTCCTCGAGGCACCGCTCCTTCACCTCGTTCGAGCACTAGCGCCTCCTCGCTTTGCGGCGCCATCGCGATGCCCTTCGCCCGAGCTACCGTGACGTCGCCACATCGGCTACGCCGCGTTCCTTCATCCTCCTACCACCTTCATTGTCTCCACCAGCCCCGGTGACCGATACTCCTCCACGAGCATGTTCCCACGCCGCCATCCACCGTCACCCTAGGGTCCCGCTCCATCTCCTCGAACACCTTGTGCGCCACCTTGGGCTGCCCGACCACGGCCGAACACCTTCATCAACGTCGTGTAGCTCACCGTGGGCGACACAATGCCCCATGACCGCATCTCGTTGAAGAAGGCTAGCGCGCCCGACCGTCGTCGTGACACGCGCACCCATCCATGAGGGTGTTGTATGTCACCACGACAAAGAGTGGATGCCGGCGTCCGTCACCATCTCCTCAAAGAGCTCCACGGCTTTGTCGATCTGCTGGTACTTTGGCGGTACCCCTTGAGCGGGGACGTTGTAGGTGACACGGTTGGCTAGAACTCCGGCCGAGGCCATCTTGCCCAAGCACGCGGCGTCTTGTGGCGCCACATCGCCCGCACCGACAAGCTACGATATCACCGTCATGTAAGTCACATGGTCCGGTGGCTTGCGGTACCGTCGATTGCCTCTTGCCGCATCGCCAGCAAAGACGGCCACGACATCGTCCCGATGCGGCTGCGTTCATGTATCCCTTCATCAGCGTGGTGTACACCCTAGCATTGGGCGGATAAGCTTTGGGGAGCAGCGGCACCTCATCCGAGCCCTGTCCTGTTTGGCCCGGCAACCATATGTCGTCCAAATAGCGCGGTACCCTCCTCGGCGTCGATCGCAATCCAATCCATAGCGACAGCCCCGAGCGATTAACATATGTTTTTGCGCTCTTCCCGCATCGCCGCACGATCCTCTCCGCCGTGGTGATGTCACCGAAGCCATTTAACGAGGCGGCGAGGGAGTGGAAAATGGTGGCGCAGGGGGCGAGGCTGGAGGAGAGCATTTGCTCAAGCACACGTGCGACGAGGTCCTTTCGGTCGGTGCGCTCGCACATCGACGACGTTGTAGGTGAGCGCGCCATCGGCGGTGGTGCTCCATTCGCTCATTGCGTCCGCAATTTCTTTGGAATCGGGTGGCGATCCTCGGCGTCGGCAAAGTATTGCCCAGCGCTGCGTTGAATCTGACAGCGTCGAGGAGGCGAGGAGGGTAGATGAGCTCTAGTGGCGCACGGCAGAGGTGGCGGAGGATGGCGTTGAAGAGGCGGAGCACCTTGGTGGGCGGAGTGAGGCGGGCAACGGCGGTGGTGTACGCGCGTCGGTCGGGGAGGAGGCCCTGACGGAGCATGTAGAGGAGGAGGGAGTGGGTGAGGCGGGCGTCGCGGGAGCGGGCGGCGGCCGCGGCCGCCAGGGAGAGGGAGTTGGTGTCGAGGAGGTCGAGGGCGCCGCGGGCGCGGAGGCTCTGGAGGAGGCGGGCGGCGTGGGAGAACGTATCGGGGCCGTTGGAATTGAAGGAGAGCTGCGCGAGGAGGCGAGAGGGCGTGGTGGGGGAGGAAGGGAGGGCAGAAGGCTTCGAGGAGAAGAGGCTGTAGGCGGCATCGGTGTCATGGGCGTGGAGGAGCGCCAGGAGGGCATCATCGGAGGCGCCATCTTCGTCATGGTCAGCCGCGTGGTTGAGTGGCGGGGTGGAACGGGAAGTAGCTGGGGATAGGGCAGCTGGTGGATGGAGCCTCTGGTGCTGGTTGCCGGAGGAGGAAGAAGGCGGGGAGCATGAGCATGAGCAAGAGCAGGTGGCGCCACCGGGGAAGGAGGGATGGGGTTGGAGGAGCTGGAGCGAGTAGCGCGTGCAGCATAGCATCCCTGGAGTACCACGTGGTTCCTCGACTCCGGCGACCTCTAGCTCCTCGCGGACGACATGTGGATGGCGGTGCGGCATGGTGCTCTCGGGCGTGTGGACGGTGGAGCGGTGAGGCGACACTGCTCACAGCTGGCGAGCATGGGCAGCAAATGGACGGAGGAGGAAGAAGGGCGCATCACAGCGCATGCTCGTGCGGGTGGAGATGACGGCCGTTACCCCAAAATTGACTGAACGTGACGGAATGCTAATTTCGGTTAACGCTTACATCTTTCGATGGTATTTCATGTGACGGAGCTTTTTCAGTGGTATTTTTCGATTCTTGTGATCTTTTGATGCTATAGAACCAATTCTCCCTAATAAGTACTATTAGATACGAGCAAGAAAGGTAGTATTTGATCAGAAGCTAATATAAATAGTACTTGGTACAATTGGATACTACTAATAGCGGTTGAACTCCTATGCTATTCCTCAATGTATTTTTTTAGACCAAAGACTTTGATGTCGTTTATGTCTAATGAAAGCATAAACCTTCCCCATGTATGCGAATGTCTCTTTGAATGTATGTAAATGTCCCGGGATTGCCTGTACTCATGTCGTGTAGGACAACAAGTGGCGTCGAAAGTCTCCTCGCTCAGTCCTAATGTGAGGAGAGTAACCAAACCTTTGCTGACTAGGGCCTCGTTTAGATTGTCTCTAAATTTCAAGTTTTTTCACTCTTTTCACCACATCAATTTTTGAACGTATGTATGGAGTATTAAATGTAGGTAAAAAAAAACTAATTACACAGTTTGGTTGTAAATCACGAGACGGATCTTTTGAGCCTAGTTAGTCCATGATCGGACAAAGTTTATTAAATACAAACGAAACGTGCTACAGTGTTCATGTTGTAAAAATTTGCAATCTAAACCAGGCGAAAATAGTGCAGCTACAGTGTCTCTACGATCTCCAGCGGGAGATACTCGCCGAAGCTGCAAAACAAGCGGTACACGTACAGGTACAGCAACAAGACACAGTTGGAGCGACTACTGAGCATGCTGGGATCATTCGGCAAAGCGGATGCATGCTTGCCGATGCCGCCCGCACCGGCCTCCACAGCGGATCGCGGCCGCGCTGTCCCTGTCCATCTCCATCCACGGCATATGACGGCATCCTGTTCGTCACCGGCCCGCTCGCCCGAATGGCCTGCCCTCCCGTGCACGTCCCCCTCCCCGAGACCCCGACCGCGCGGTTGCCCTCGGCAGCAGGGGCCGGCCGCCGACCGCGGACACGGGCGTCCGCGTCCAACTTCGACTTGTATGCGTGCTCTCGACCGCTCGCTTGCCGGCGTTGACCCTTGCCCCGTTGCCTGCCGTACGTAGGACGGTAAGAGGTGTATTGGCTCCGGACAGAAGAAATACTGCTGCTACTTCAGATAAGATATATAGGCGATCCCATCACAAAACTTTACTGCTGCACTTTTAGCCTCCAAACAGGGAACTAAAAGTGAGCAAATAGGTAAAAACTGAGTTAAAATATTTTGGCTAAACTCCCTCGGGGTGGGCGTGGGACGTCCCATACCCGTTGCCGCTTGCATGTATGGCTGTGCATGGATAATTAAATGATGATAAATCAGTCATGGTAGATTAGAGGACTAAAGTTTAGCTCATGTATCAAACAGCTCAACAGGACTAAAGTTTTGTTGGACCAGTGATCAAACACCACCGTACTCCCTTCTCCTGCTAGGTGCTTCCGATCAATGCAAGTCTGATTATCCTAATCAAATGGGGGTCGTCAAGGTTTTTAATTTCGGTATTGCCAAAATTTCGGTCACCACCGAAATTACCGAATTTCACGAAATTCGGCCGAAATTTCGTCGAAATTTTTTTTAGAGATTAGCACATGAAGTATGTTTTTTCTAAAAAAATTTGGATTTAAACAAATATTAGTATGATTTATGACTACATATCTATTAAATAGAAGAATATGCAATATAAACAATAGAAAAATATAAGATTAGAGTTATATAGCACATGTATTAGTGTATTAAAAAATTTCGGAGTTTTCTTTCTGCCACCACCGAAATTACCGAATCTCGTGAAATTCGGCCAAAATTTCGCCGAAATTTTGAACCCTGGGGATCGTTTTGGCCCCGTTCGCTTCGCTGAAAAAACAAATCGAAACACTATTCCGACTGATTTGTTATGAGAGAAAAAACACTATTTCGACTAAAAAACAAGTTAAAAAGTACGGATTACAAGAGAAGCGAACATTTAGGTCTGTTTGTTTGGCTGGCTTTAAGCTACTGCTCCTCTTTGGTTTCTAGTGAAGGAATACTGTAACTGAATGGGTGGTGAACACTGGCTGCTGCAGCACAGCAAACAGGCCAAAAAAAATCTTTCACCACCGTCTCTCCAACAGCATACGTGGTAGCAGACTAGCAGTGGCGCTCAACTCCGATGATTTCGCTGTCAAGGAGTACTAGACTGAGGCCCCGTTTAGATCCAAAATTTTTTGGATTTTGACTCACTGTAGCATTTCGTTTATATTTGGTAATTAGTGTCTAATTATAGACTAATTAGGTTCAAAAGTTTTGTCTCGCGATTTCTCACCCAACTGTGCAATTAGTTTTTTTTTGTCTACATTTAGTACTCTATGCATGTGCCGTAAGATTCGATATGACGGGTACTGTACAAAATTTTTTAAATCTAAACAAGCCCAGTGATCAGGGACCAACAGTTCAACACGTCTGCACAGGAACGCGTAAATGGCCCAGCCAGTCAACGATGGGAACGGGTTGGTCAAGCTTCTCTTGTCCTCATATATAGGAGTTGTACTATGTATTTTATTGAATGCTATTGCCGTTCAATTTCAGAATTTCTCGACGCAAGCTTGTCCTGCCGTGGTCCAGTCTCCGGGACTAGTCTCGCTGGAAACTGCCTGCCGCCAAGCTTCTCCATTATTGCAGCAGCCTAGAACACACTGTCGGTGAAAGTTCACAACCATATACTAAACCGTTCCCTTGCAATTTACATCCCAATCCCAGCTTCTCAATTTGCAGAGACGTCACAGATCCGGAAAGCAACAACACAGAAAGCAGTTCTTTTGCAAGGAGCCTCAAGCAGTTCTCCAACTCGATCCGGTGGTCGTAGCAGCCAGGGTGAGATCCATCCCTGCTGAGTGCTGACTGCCTCACGGCGGACAATTGACGGAGCAAGTCAAGAATTGTTCGTCGTATGGAAGATGGATGGGGCACTAGCGAGTGCTTCAACAGGGGTGATGAACTCCCTTCTCGCCAAGCTCTCTGCGATGGTTGAGGGGGAGTATGAGCTCCTTGGAGTCACCCAGTCCGACATTGCTTTTCTGAGCAACGAGCTCAGCAGTATGAACGCCCTGCTTGAGAAGCTGGCAGCAGCGGAGAAACTTGACGTGCAGGTACAGGTTTGGAGGGACAACATACGGGAACTAAGCTATGATATCGAAGATTGCATTGACATGTTTATGCAGAAGCTCAACCATGGCGACGCCGCCAAGGCAGGTAATTTTGTTAAGAAGATAATTGGTAAGGTTAAAAAGCTATGGTCAGGCTTCCAGATGGCTAACCAGATTCACGAGCTCAAGGCTCGTGTGGTTGAGGAGTGTGAGCGTCGCTTGAGATACAAGTACGACGAATCGATCTCCACCGCGGTCAAAGTGGAGATTGATCCACGATTGCCAGCGCTGTATGTGGAAGCAGAGAAACTTGTTGGTATCGACGGTCCTATGCAGAATCTCATGGATTGGTTGATGAAAGACGACTCGACACAACAGCTTAGAGTGGTGTCTATTGTGGGTTTTGGAGGCCTCGGCAAAACAACTCTCGCGAACCAAGTGTATCGCAAAATCAAGAGTCAATTTGATTGTACAGCTTTTGTACCAGTTTCGCGAAGTCCCATCATAAAGAAGATACTCCGTGATCTGCTTACAGAACTGGGTAGTAGTAAGACTCATGCATCAGAAGACGATGAGCGGCAACTCATAAATAATGTCAGAGCATATCTACAAGATAAAAGGTAAGCATAAAAATACCCATGTCTACTTCGATAGAAATATCCAATATTATGATATCAACAGAAAAAAAAAGAAAAGTGTGTGTGTGTGTGTGGGGGGGGGGTATATATTATCGGATTACGTAAGGACCTCATCAGTCTGCTGCTCTCTTTACCTACCACAACCAAGTCTATACAAAAGACAGTACAATTGTTTGTGCTTGTAGGAAGGTATACTGCAAATAATATATTTCAGAAACACTAACTTTATAAAATTTATTTAATATTTTCTTATCAATGTTTACAATAAGTAGGTAGTGGTATATCTATTAAAATTCTGTTGTGGATCTGCACTAACTAAGTGTCTATACAATCATATATACTAGCAATGGAAATTTGTTACTTGATCTTGTGATACTAATGCCATTGCCATTCAAATAGGTACTTAATCATTGTTGATGATATCTGGAGCACAATCGCCTGGGAATTTGTGAAGTCTGCTTTACCTGAGAATAAATTACGCAGTAGAATAATTACTACTACAAGACATTCTGATGTAGCTAGATCATGCTGCTCAAGTTATGAAGGATATATTCACAACATTCAGCCTCTGAGTAACCAGGACTCCTCAATGCTGTTTTATAACAGAGTTTTTCAAAGGCAGACCTCCTGCCCGCCTCATCTAGAAGAAATCTCTCTGTCAATAATAAAAAGATGCCATGGTCTGCCACTAGCTATAAACACAGTAGCTAGTTTGTTAGCTAACAGATCAAATGATATAGACCAATGGGAGCAAGTTCGAGATTCTATGGTTTCTGGACTTCATTCACAACTAGTTCGAGATATACTCCTGCTTAGCTACTATGATCTTCCACATCATCTGAAGTCCTGCTTCTTGTATCTTTGTATATTTCCTGAGGACTGTAAGATTGCAAGAGAAAAGCTAATATGGAGATGGATAGCTGAGGGGTTCATCACAAATGAAATTGGACAAACATTGGACCAAACAGGAGAGAACTACTTTAATGATCTTATCAACAGAAGCTTGATTCAACCTATTGATATAATGTATGA